AGTCTCTTCTTCATGTACAATTTATTTTGACTGTTTTTCTTCAAAAATTTATCCTCCAGTGCTTTCCATAATTTACTTGCAGAAGTTTCCTTTCTGTATGGATATTTCTTCTCTCTAGCAAGGTAGGATCGAATGGTACCGCAAGCAACACGGTTGATAATTCTCTAATCTTCTTCTCCAATAACATCTGGTCTTTTTTCTTCAATGGCAAGATCTAGCCCTTGTTGAAAAAGAGCATCTAGAACCTCGCCTTGCCACATCCCAAAATGTCCGGACCCGTCAAAAATTTCTACCGCAAATTTCGCATTTGACACAATTCTTGTCATAAGCGAAGATGCCAATGATGACGTATTGTTGACACTTGATGTAGATTCTTCTTGTTTATTGTCTCCCATCTTTGACACAAATATTATTTAATAGCTGACGACACAAATCAAGATTATTTCCTTTCTGGTGTGGAAGATCAGACTAAGCTGCAACCACAGAGCATACTCAGACAGAACCTTGACTCAGTTACCAAGATAAATCTTTTCTGATGTGGAAGATCAGACTATGCTGCAACCACAGAGCATACTTAGACAGTACCTTGGCTCTGATACCAATTGTTGCGGAAGCCAAATGTATATAGTGTGAATGAGTCACAACTACTATACCAAAAATTATGGCAGCCACCAAATAATAAATAAGACAATAAAGCAACAATAAAAGAAACACCAGAATTTACGAAGTTTGGCCAATTTTGCCTACTTCCTCGGACACAACCAATATTTTATTCCACTCCAAAAATACAAGTGAAATAATACTAAAGAGAGAAGATACAAATGCCTTAAAAGATAAGAAGGCAAATGAGAGGTGTATTTAAATCCTAAACATTAGGCCTTCTTTTATAGGGAGAAATTCTCCCCAAATTAAGTCTTCCACCGATGTGGGAGTTTGCCATTTTCAACAATCTTCAACATTTGAAGAAACCGCTAGAAAATGACTTTTTTGCGGACAATTATTTTCTGAAAAATGACTTCCGTCATACCAAATCAGCTGGAGTCGACATATACTGGGAACACTAGGTAATAATTATGTGACCAGTAATGGTTGTGCTAGAGTGCTAAGTACTCCTTTCATTCGTAACTAGATGTCTCTTGTGTCAAGGCATTGGCATTAAGTCCCTTTATTAGGGAGTATTTTAACCAATATAAAACTTTTCGATGTAAATCCAGATATAATCAGGCTCCAATACGATTACCGAACACCCGTAAAAAACCAAAAAACTATGTCCAAAGCTTATATAGTATATGACAAGAGGTTTAGGTGATGCTGTTAATTGCTCTAGTACAAATTAGTTCACCGACATTGTAATACGTCTATGGTTTACATCAGTTGGCTATATATTTATTTGCAACAAACTCATCATATTCATTACTACTAACTTTCTCTTGATTTTAAACCTTTCTTCTTCACTTCTCTGAACACTTGTCAGCAAAATTCTTCAATCAATAACTAAGAACAAAAAATGGTACATTCAAAGAAGTTCAGAGGTGTCAGGCAACGCCATTGGGGTTCTTGGGTTTCTGAAATTCGTCACCCCTTGTTGTAAGCTCTTCATCTATAATATTTACTACATTTTTCATATATTATCTCTTTTTCAATTTCTTCTTCTTATCTAACCTTATTTATCAATTTTTAATGTTGGTTTTGAGAATGGGATGGGAGATTAGTCATTTATGTAAAGGGCAGTCTGGTGCACGAAGCTCCTGCTATGCGCGGGCCGGGAAAGGGTCGGACCACAAAGGATATATTGTACGCAGTCTTACCATGTATTTCTACAAGAGGCTGTTTTCAAAAGAAAAGAAAAAAAATCAGTGCACAAAACATCCCGCATTTACGCAAGATCCGGGAAAGGGCAGCACCCCAAGATGTATAATATAAGGCAATCTGCTCTGCACAAGTATCAGAGGTTGAATCTACGGCTCAAACTCGTGGCCTACAAATCATACGGAGACAACTTTACTGTTGCTCTAAGACTCGCTTCTGACTAGTCTTTCATGTATCAACTAGAAAAAGTAGCTACACTATGATAGAAAACTATATTATAACTTTAAAAAAGTGATCCCATCAATCCAACCCTCGAGCTATTCATTATAACTTGTTTTTATCTAGCAAGATACGTCTAGTACTTCATCCACTTGCTTATCGCAATAGGATTGGAGCAGTCTCGGGTTTCAAAGAAAAACCTGAGGCGATCTATATGTCCAAAGACGGACCTGGAGTGTTAAATATGGGTTGAGTCGAACCTACTATTTTCGGTTTATATCAGATATATGCGGTTAGAACACCCTGAAATGTATATGAATATAAACTTGAGCTATAAACATTATTATTCAATTTTTTTTTTACACTATCAGTACAATTTGATTATAGCAGCCAAATTATTAGTGTAATTATTACTCTCTTTTTTCATGTCACTGCTTATTAGACATTTTATGGAAGTTACTTGTTCAACTTAACCTAATAATCTAAATATTTTGTAAACTCTCAGGGTACAAATTTAAACTCTTTAAATACTTAGTATTGAACTCGTATTTCAAATTCAAAGTTCAGAACGTGAATCCATAAAATTTAAATCTTGAATTTGTGTCACAGGAAAAGAAGGGTATGGCTTGGCACATTTGATACAGCAGAAGAAGCAGCAAGAGCATATGATCAAGCAGCAATATTAATGAGTGGCCGCAATGCAAAAACCAACTTTCCAATCACTGATGATTCAGATAATAAAGAATTAAAGGCTAAAGATCAAGAATTTTCATCAATTCCCTCTCCAAAAGCCTTATCTGAAATACTTCATGCCAAGCTTCGCAAATGTAGCAAGGTGTCATTCTTCGTCCCTTATTTTTCATAAGAAAAATTCATTATACTTCCTCAGTTTTATTTTATGTGAGACTATTAAACACATAGGAGTTTTTAGCAAAATATTTTAGGAGGTCGGTTAGAAATACGGGATTTCTGATGGAATGTCCGTCAGAAAAGCTTCTGACGAGCTGTTGAAGCTTTTCCGACGGATCTCCCTCAAAAATTTCTATTGAAATTCACTTGTTTGTAGTAGTGTGACGACATTCTTTATTTCAGATTATTCCAAAAAGACGGACATGTTTCTATATTTAAGAGTAATTTAACTTTAACCTTCTAACTTAAATATTATGACATGTTCAAGACACGTGCTTCAAAAGTCTATTGCTTTCTTAAATTTTGTGCCTGATTGTAAACCTTTATATAAAACGAACCAGAGAAATCATATTATATGTATTATTGCATAATATTATATATTGCGATATTGGAATCGAGGATTTATCGGAAACATCCTCTCTACCTGCACAAGGTAGGGATAAGGTTGCGTACATGCTATTCTCTGCAGACCCCAGAGGCATAAATACCTTGTCTTATGTGGTGTCACGGGACACCGCTTCGTCGAAATTTTTTACTAGTTTTGTATAAAAAATAAAAATATTGGAGATATATATAGAAAATGACACCGCTTACAACTATAATAAGTTATTTATTTATTCATCTCTTCAAATTATGACACCACTTATGAAAAATCCAACGTACGTCACTGCCATATCCAACTTGTGGAACGATATCGGATATGTTATTTTGTTGCTGTTATTTATATATCGGGATATTTCTAGTGAAATTAATACATTTCAAGTCTTGTTTTCATCATATAGGCACCATCACCATCTCTCACTTGTTTGAGGTTGGATATTGAGAGTTCACACATAGGAGTGTGGCAAAAACGTGCTGGTCCTTCATCTGATTCGAAATGCGTAATGACAGTTGAACTTCAGAAAAAGAATAATGTCAAAAATGCTATTGAAGGAGAATTAAATTCTTCTTCTACTTCTAGTTCCAAGAATTGTGGAGAAATAGTTGAAGGTATAAATATTAGAAGTGAAATGGATGAAGAAGAAAGAGTTGCATTGCAAATGATAGAAGAATTACTTAACATAAATAGTCCTTGCCCTACATTTGATATATAAGAAGGGTTTTACTATGTGAAGGCGAGCCCTAGACAGAAACAGTGAAGGTGTCTCCGTCTAATCTATAGATTACGAATTCGAACCGTAAAACCTGTCGTGAACACGGAATGTTTCTTATATCGGACTACCTTATATATATATTATTACTTTCTAAGGATTTGGGCAAGAAGCTGCCTATGTAAGTAGTAGTAGTAATAATAATAAAAGAAAAAGAAACAAGTGAAGAAAGTTGTCTCTCCTTGTGTAGACTAATTAAATCAACATTGTTTTCTGGAAGAATTGAGAAGTTGATAAATAAATTTACTGAATTGATTGTGTTTAACTTCTGAAGCAAATTCTCCCTTTATATTTATCCTCTTTTTTTCCTCGTCAAATTTGTTTCTGAGAAGCTGCAAGTAATATTTTTTTTGTATGTATATACATATATATACAAACTTCTATGTTCCTTTCGTTACGGTATTTTTAAAGAAGTTCCTAGATAACAAGCCTAAAGGTTTTCTTCTTGATGAGGTCGATATTGATGATAGTGACGATCTTGATGCTAGTGACGATATCGATCATAACCTTTATACGGAGCTGGAACTGTTAGGACCGAAAAAAGTCAGGTGTCATGTGGAAGCTAGCAAAACAAACCCTCAACAACGATAAACCACACAACAAAAGAGAAATATACCAAAAGAGACACAAATATTTGACGTGGTTCGGTCAACTGACATACGTCCACTGCAGAGATGAGCAATCCACTATAATAAAAAGAGGATACAAAATATCGAAAGAACAACCTCACGAAGAGGCAAACACAAGTAACACACTAACACTTGCCCCGAAAAGTTCTCCCCCTAAACAAGACTCTCAAACCCTTTATGGTTACATTGTGAATACTACTGGATGAGAAGGGCGGATCCTCAATTATAGAACTCCAAACCTTTTCCTACAAGAAAAGGGACTAGCCAAATATGAAAGAATTATATTTTCATTCTAGGAAAAGAAAAACTCAATTATGGTAAATATGTTGTCATTTCCTTCATGAAATAGGAAAACCAAATATAGTAAGAAAATTATGGCAAACACCTAACAGGAACTGCTAACTAGGATCAGAGGCGGATCTAGTATATTATTTACGGGTTCAACTGAACCCATAACTTTCGACTCGGAGTAAAAATTTGTATGTAAAAATTTATTAAAATTGCAAAAATAGTAGATATGAACCCATAATTTTAAAAATATAATGAGTTCAATATTAAAAATATTAAATTTGAACCCATAAGATTTAAATCCTGAATCCGCCTCTGACTAGGATGAATGGGCTCACTATGGATATAATGCCGGAAATAGACCGATTTTATATCATCCTTCAATTCGAATTAGCAAAAGCAATGTCTCCTTGCATAATATGGATTCCAAACATTTATGATCTGGATATGAATGAGTCGAATGACTTAGCCCTCGGTCTATTAGTGAACCATATGTATATATATATATATATATATATATATATATATATATATATATATAAACATCAAGTTAAGAGAGGAAATGAAGTTTCAAAAGTGAAAACCAATACAATCCTAAACTTAAATCTACTTACAAGTTGAACTATAGCAATAGACTAACAATGGTTCGAGCTATTGTTGGATAAATACCTTTGGTAGATAATCCTTTAGATAGTACGATAATAATATCTAAATATGCAAATATCGTAGCACGAGTATGGTCGGTCAAATCATATGCGAGTTTTACAAAATCTTGCATACTTTAGGTCGTTGTGATATAGTTTAGGATTGCACATTGCAAATGGAAAAATAGTAGTGACACTAAGAGCCCGTTTGGACATAAGAAATTTTTTCCTTTTTTTTCCGAGATCAGGGTTTGTTCATAAAATTTTTAATTTTCACTTAAAGATGAGTTTTGAAATTTTTCAAAAATTTGAAAAACTCCAAAACGCTATTTTTCAAAATTTTCAGTCAGATCACTCACAAAACTTCAAAAACAATCCAAAATTAAATTTATGTCCAAACACAACTCTAATTTTTAAATACCATATTCACTTGATTTTTTCTTTTTTACTTTTTTTTAGAATTTTACAATTCTTATATCCAAACGCCCACTAACTTTAATTTTTTTTCCCTATTTTACATCATGTCAAAGAGGTCATCATTACTACGGTAGTACTGTTTTTAACCTTTTGCTTGTAGAGTAGGTTGTCATCTCATTATTATAATTAGTTCGTTGCTTTCCATGTTCATGTGACAAGGTTTTTTGTTCGTAATAAAGGCCTGTCTTAACAAATAAAATATATGTCAAGAGTGTGTGCTAATTATGGGTGTCTGACGGGTGGGTCGGGCCGGGCTGGGTAGAAAAATTTAGGAATCATACGGATTGGGGTCCGGACCGATTACAGATTGGGGCTTATCGGGTTTAACGGGTTCAGGTTCATCCGGGTAAAAATGAACCATAAGGGTTATGGGGGTACAAAGGGCAGGGCCGGGACAGGTTAGTGTAATTTTTAAATTTTTTTTTGTATTTTGTATAACTATTGTAAATTATATTAATATAAAATAAAAACCTAAAAAATACAATGAAGATGGAAAAAAATTGCACTTATAAATTGCAAGTGCTATATTTATTTCAAAATTACAAAATTGAAGTTTACATTTAACAAGTAAATTAACAAAAAAAGAGTAAAACTAAATTTTCATGCATAATAATACTTTAAATTAATCTAACAAACTAAAACATTAAGCATAAATACGTCTAATAATTTTAAAATAACACAAATTGTTCAAATCAACTTAAATACGAATTTTCGGAGGACGCTCAAGACAACTCTACATATGCCTCCTTAAACTGCTTGTGTCACACTTTGGATGAAGATTTAAGACTCGACCACAGTTCTTACACTTTACTTTCTGAACTTCTTTATTTTCTTCTACCACCTCAAAGTGTTCCCAAACATATGAGCGCACTTGTCACGCCCCGAACCTAGGCCTGGACGTAACACGGCACTCGGTGCCTGATTACATATGACCGAGCGAACCAACTGGCTGGATGAATCAATATGTGATATCATAACATATTAAATGCGCAAGATAAAGTAACACATGCTGATATGCTAAAAGTCTGAATGATAAAAATCAAAGTGCGGAAATACTAATACAATTTTGAAATATATTTGTAGTCAACATAGAGCTTAATATGAAAAGCCTACGACTCTGTCTAGCTGTTACTCTAGTCTATGAAGCCTCTATTGAAGTACTGAAAACACTGTCTATCTGTAAATACTGAAAGACTGTAAGGTAATGATAATGCCCCTAAAGAACTGGGGATCACCCAATAGCTGGTACGAGAATCCTAGCGCTCTAAATGGACATCAGTACATTTGAATTGCATTGGTATGTAAAGCAACTGAAAGAAAGAATTATAAATGCTGAAAGTGGAACTAAGCTGATAACTGAGAATTGATAATTGATAACTAAAATGATAACTATTGAAGCTGAAACTAAAATAATAGCAGATAACTAGTAACTAAACTGATAATTGGTAACTGAAACTGAACAAAGGAAGTAAGGATATGAATACTCCCTCTTCTGAATGATGAACAGCCTGTTTATCTGAATAAGCTACGGCCTCGGGCCCAATATATATATATATGCACAAGCTACGGCCTCAGACCCAAGTATACGTATACATAACTACGGCCTCAGGCCCAAAAATACATAAAGCATACACTACGGCCTCTGGCCCAAACATGCATAAAGCATAAACTACGGCCTCAGGCCCAAGTATGCATAAAGCATATAAACTACGGCCTCACGCCCAAGTATGCATAAAGCATATAAACTACGGCCTCACGCCCAAATACAGGTGTTCAACATTCAAGAATTTAAAATCAAAAACTGAGAATCATACTACAATACATAATAGTGAAATACTGAATCACATTGAGTTACATGATACTGAAATACTGAATCATACTAGGTTACATAATACTGACATACTGAATGGGACTAGACTGAGACATGTATTCTTGAACTGATTATGAATACCGAAATTTCAACTATATATGGCATACTGAGTAATCTATACTAAGACTTAAGGGCATCAAACCCAAGTCTATATTGAATATGCACTGAGCTCACAACGTTCAAAATGAAAGTCATGCGCGAGTTATGAAGCTAGAGAATAGAAGTTCTACAACTATTCAAGGAACTAGGCTTAACTATATTTCTGAGGCAATTAGTAATGTCATAAAAGAAACGTTGTGTAGGGAGAATCATTAACATTCCCAAACATAGAGAGTTAGCCTCATATACCTCAATTTCGCCCTTTAGTGATACTACAATGATCCACAATACTAAGAACTTTCAATCTACAATAGCAACATCCAATGGAACCCAATATTAGTAACAAATTTCATAACTTAAGTCATTTAGGCATATTATCAAACACCTTGTAGGCATAAATCGTTACATCTCATCACCATATAATTAGTTCATCTATCTACCACCATTCATCAACAATTTATCCTATCATCTTGATTGACCAACTTATAACTTCCAAAATCACATATATGACAAATTGACAATCCATCCACACCCAACCAACTAAATTCCATTAAATAAACATCTTTCAATCTCTATAATAGTTGTGTAATTAAATTGGGAACTTATGATTTCCAATCACCATACCAAAAGTTCCAATACTTATTCATACTCTTATTTCCTTAATAAATCCATACATGCAAGTCTAAGGGTGTAGGATTACCTTTTTAGAAGAAATCTTACAAAACCCTCTTTTGAGTTCTTGAAGAAATCCCTTGAAGATCTAAGTATTTTATGTATAGATTTCATCAATACTAGTGTATAAATGATGGAATTCAGACCAAGATAATGGGTATTGCTTACCTTGAAGATGGGAGGGGTTAGAGGTCTTCAGAGGGTGGAGAAAAACCCTAAAAATCGTCCAAATGAAGTGGAAAAAATAACTCCCGAAGGTTTTATATCAAAATAGGATCGGGTTGAGAAAAAAAGAAGATTTGCACATCCGCGGCGCATGGGGCGCCGTGGTAGTAAAAAATGTGTTTAGAAACTGTAGACATGTGATTTTTGACCCTCCCAGAAATTTCACCCATTTTAGCATAAAATATTTAATTTAGGTCTAATATCGCTATTTCAGCTAATTTTGACTCTTTTACTTTATTTTATTACAAGAAAATAAA